TAAGAAGACCACCTTAAAGAATAACATTATCTTTATTTGTAATCACAGGCTTTCAACATTGCAGAAAAACTCTGATCCTTCTCAGATTCTGATATTCTGATATTTGTATTTAATCAATAACCACATTCCTTTTTCATCTATCTTACCTCTGCAATTGCATTTTCCCAGCCACATATGTTTTATTGTTTAAGAATTCAATTGAGAGAGTCATTCATGTTTGCAAAAAGGATGATGTTTTATTATTGGTTATAAAGAAAAGAAATTTCACACTTTGTATAACCCTTTCTGTTATAGCACGGTGAATTCTGAAAGTGAGGAACAAGCTAACAAACCATGGAAAGAGAGGCCACAGAAAGCTCTTATAATATTCTGACAACATTATAAAATAAGATCTGGCAATTTTTATGTCTCTGATTGACAAGCATTCAATTTACATTTGAAATGCATTCATTATCATGTACAATTTGAGGATATGTAGACTTAAAAGAATAAGGAGATGATGGTCAAAATATTTAACACCAATATGGTATGACCTGATCAATGACACCAAGTACTATATTGTTGGGACAAGATCCCAGAGACATCCTGTAGATATAGGTGTTTTTCCTTTAGTGACTGGATCATGGGGAAGTGGATGGGTTCTTGGAGAGGGGCCAGGATGAATGGAGGCATGGGGCAAGCGATGAGGAGTTTCAAGGTGGAGACTATTTATGAGCCAGTCTAGTGATGCTTTAATATTTGAACAATTGGAACAGCTATACCACTGAGTACCAGCTGGACTAAGAAGTGGAGAAATTTGGGTGGTGTGATGTAGTTAGAAATTAGAGTACGAGTTAGAATTCCTGATACTGCCTTTCACTCACTGCATGATCTTGAGTAAGTCAGTTCTTGAAGCCTCTACTTTCTCTTATGAAAAATGAGAATATTGGATAAGTACAGCCTTAAGTTCCCTTCCTGTTCTAAGTATCTACTTTTTCCACCCACTTAATGATCTGTGAGTTTTATGTATAGAGTATAGAATTGTCTCTGAGCTTCTAAAAAGCAGAGACTGAAGTGTTTCATAAAGAATGTGGGGCACTCTCATGCCCTGTGGGTTGTGAATAACATGATAGTCAGACAGAAATGAAGCCAGCATTAACCATGGATGCACTGTGCTCTCAGGAGCAAGACAAGAGCAGTTAAATATCTTTTCAAAGGCAGCCTAAAAATATTTTTTAAAGATTAATAGTTTTCAATATTTGGAGGAATTTACTATAGAATAGAAAAATGTATTAGTTTACTACAGAAACAAAATAAATGTTGCTTTTGCCTGAAATTATCGAAGTCAAACAAAAACAGCTACTTTAAAGTTTTTTGTTGTTTCCCTAGATTGTAAAAAGTTCCCTCTACTTTCCACGTCACTTTTGTGTTGATATATTGATATATTATGCTTTTTTTTTAAATATTCACTGACTATATTGCAAAATCTTCATGGAAACATATAAGCACACAATGATGAGCAATGTCATGCCTACAGAAAGTAAAGAAGATTCTGAAGCAACTTCTACCTAGGTGTGTTTTTTCTCCAAATAGTTTGCTTTAATTTGGTTGAGTAGAAAATTACTTTCTAATTTATATCACATATATTTAAAAAATTTATAAGTATGAGGAAATAACATAATTATTACTTTATCAGAAAAAGGAAAAAAATTATGGTTTCTGATGTACATGCTGTATTGGGAAACTCGGTGCTGAGTTAATACCTACACATATATTTCTGCGGGGTGCCTATACAAATGATAGTTTAGTAAAATGAACTTATTCTGTGTAAATATCTTGTTGCATATTCTACCCAACAAACAGACATAAGGAAAATGAACAATTGATTATCTGGGGTAATTTTCTTGAAACTTGCACATAATTCCCATTTATGCTCATTAGATAAAAAAGAGCCTTTCTATAACAAATTAAGAATATGCATAACCTGTTATGACACAGTCATAGATATATAATAATATGGTCTAGAATTATAGTACTCTCTCAAAGTACATCATATTCAAAATTCACTGGAGGTGTCTTAAAGACATCTGTTGTAATTACAGGAACACGGTTTCTAATTCATTTAATTCCCTTTCCTACCTAAACTGTACATATAAGTGAATTTTAAGAGACTGTATAAATAAATTTTTAATTACAAAATGATGTTAGACAATACATTATTAATAATAACCAACAATGCATAATGTTTATGCATGAGTCCATTAGAAAGACAAGCTAATGTATGTCATTTCTAAAAGAATGCACTAATTTGTCCTGAATTTGTGAATGAAGTTGAATCCATGATGCAAGCCAATGAGTGCAATAACACAGAGGGTTTTAGCATGCTATTGTATAGTCAGGAAACATCTTGTACCTATGGCATTTAAGAGGTATTTAAGATTTGTTCATCACATGTGATCAAGATCTTATTTTTCAGCAAGCCATGCGGTTGTGAAATTTGGAATAAGACCACTGAGTTGACAATACTAGCTTTCCCAGACAGGTGCAGAGTAAAATGGTCTATAGCATTCAAGAAATGTGTACAGTCCTTACATTTCGGCACAGGGAAATCAGTCTTACTGTAATGGAATTGCCCTGTGCAGCCAAGGGTCTGCCGGAGCTCAGTTACTTTGTTGCATCAGCGGTAACAGATTTCTGAAATCTCCATGGCCAGCTCCAGACACTCGCCGGTCTCATGGCAAGATTCAAAAAGGCTGCAGTCCATGTCACAGTTGCAATTGCAATCATTCCGAGACTGGCTTTCATCCGAGGTGTGTTGATACCTGTGAGAGGGGCAGCACAAGTTGGTACACACCGTTTCGCACGTATCAGGGAGCATCAGGAGACAATCCCAAAACTGGCAAAACAGACAGGTGAGGATAAGAGAGGCACACTCCTCTGTTTAAAGAAGAAGAAAGAAAATTAATAGTGGCATATGTGGGTCATCTATGAAGGACAAGCATGTGTGGTGATATGCTTGATAACTTTATCGCCAACTCTTAATTATTTATCCACATTAGGAGTAATATATACCATATTCTCTCAAGGTCCCCAACCTCCATGCAGTACTCACTCTACTTAAGTAATTGCTTTATTAACTTCCTGAGCATTTCCTATTGATTCCACATAATCTGGTTATTTAAAGTGCTGTCACTTTTCTAAACTCCTTTATTTACTTGGCCTGCAGAGGTGCTGAGAAGCCACACAATTAGCTATGCATCTGGAAATCTTGCAACTGTCTGAAAAATAGCAGCTCCTCCCCAAGTGCAGGAAGCATGTGGGAGCAATTAGAGCTGAGATTAAGGAGAGACTACAAATTTCTGGCTTCTTGTCTCAAAGCTTTCTTATTTGTTTGCTGTGGATTCCCATAAATTTGCCACACCCATATTCAAATTTGAGTGAAAAGGACATTTCAAAATCTAATATAAATAATTTTTAAAATAATCATAGTTTTTTGGCTGAATTTTACTTTTAATCCCTGTTTCTTTTTCCTTCCAGTTATATAAAGCCTTGGTTTTATATTCAAGTTAGATGAAATACGTCATCATATTCCTAAAAGTGTATAAATCTTATCAACCTCTTTAAGAAAATCAGTTTAAAAATTTACTATGCAGAATTGTAAAAATCTGAAAAGTATCTCTCAGGCATTGAAGGTAATTGGTAATTCTAGCCAAACAGCTGTGATGGGTTATAGATTATTATATTTTTGTGTTTCCATAAAGGGAATTAGTTAGAAGATGTAGCAGTTCTCTTGTTAAAATTATAACTTTTCTTTTCTTTCCTTTTCTTTGCTTTTTAGTCAAAAACATCTCAAAAACGTGAGCATTTTGTAAAGCCTACATAAGTGTTCACATGACACATCTAATTAATTAAAATCAGTATCCTAAAAATTGTTGATGGTTGAAAGTAACATTCTAGCATAAATTGGAGAGAATTTTTCTACTCCTGATGGGCTTATCAATTCATTAAAGTTAGACTTTCATAAGGATTTACTTTTCCCAATAAGAAGGTTAATAACTTTTGGTTTTTGGACTTCAGTCGACGGAAACTGCACAAACTTACAGAAGAGATTTTGCAGTCTGAGAAATCTGCTAGCATATTCTAAGTGTTCTTAGAACCTCATTCATTTAATTTTAACAATATTTTCCAGAAAACTTCTTTTTTTTTTTTTATTGTTCATATACTTGTTAGTCTTTAAGAGAGAAGGAAGAATATGGATGCCTGCTCTAAAAAGCAACAAATAATTTTTTAAAAGTCATTTTAATTTATTTTAAAAACACTATTTAAATGTCTAAAGTGAGTCCTGCATGTGGGTAAACAGAAATCTTCCTTTTCTTCCTCTGTCCCTCCCTCCATTCATCCCTGCCTCTCCTTCCCTGGCCCTCCTTTCCTTTCTTCTCGCTAAGACGGTGGTAAAGAGCCATGCTGTGACTTTTACAACTACTTTAATTGCCATATATTGTTGCAGGTGCTGTGGCCATTACTCAATATTTATAGTTCAGGCAGTATATTCCATAATACCTCTATGGTGTACGTTCTCATCTCTTTGCCAGATTGGGTGTATTTTTATTCACTTAAAGCCAGCTCCCAGCATGTGGCCAACTCACCTTTATCTCATAAGTCACCACAAAACACCCACAAAAATTCAAGAGTAAGTTAGTACAGTACATAGACTTTGCATTTCTAAACAGGGTGTGTCGGTGGTCAAAGACCTGGGGCATGAAACCTCATCAAGTCTTACCTATGCCAAGACCGCTATTATAGCAGTCCCTGGAAAAGAAGAGGGGTTCTTAGTAGAAAATATTCCAAGCAAATGCCTCATGATCCCTCAGGCTGGAGGCTCAAGAGACTTACTCAGGGCATGACTATATAAAAATGATCCCACTTGGTCCTGTCATTTGTAGATGCAATGTTGAAAGTTTGGTTTGGAGGTAAGTTGGATTGAGTGCAGGATGACTTGTGAAGATAGGAGCTGCTGTTTCCTGTCAGAGTGTGAAGAACTTGTTTGTAAAATGGCCTTATAATTTCCTGAAGGCGTATAACCTTTGGTTGAATTCCTCTTGTCAACCTCTCTGCAAGTTGGCAGACTCTGGAGGTCTCTGCTTCTGATGTCTACAATAGATTTTATTTACAAAAAAAAAAAAAAAGTTTGGCCTAATCCTTTGGCCAAATTGGCATTTGTTTCCTTCCACCCTTCTATTTTGCACTTGAGAATAGAGCCCATTTTTTTCTAAGTCAGTCCTTTTTATTTGGTTATAAAAGGCAGAGCCTCTTGCCCAAAAAAACACAGCAACATTAATGAATTGAAAACAGATTTTCCCCAACTTTCAAGTGTGTTCCACACTTTTCCTAAAAGGCATATTAAATAATTCTACATGAGCAGGCTAAACTGTTTTGCATATGGCCAATTTTTGTTTGCACAAAAGCAGCATAACCAGTTCAAGGAAAATTTTGCATAGCCTGTAAGCCCCTGCGTGATCAGATTCCTGCCTATTTCTCTGTCTTCCAATCCTACTCTCGTCCTTACTCACAGCACTCCAGCCACATGGGCTAAATTTTAGTTCTTGGGATGCACCTAACTCAGGGCCTTTGCACGTACTCTATCTTTGGTGTGTGTCAGACACTGTCCCCTCACAACTTTACCTAACTCCTACTCAACCTTTGCATCTTCGGCTTAAAACACCTTTCCTCTAAATCACATCCTTGCTAAAACTCTCATAGTACCCTGCTTTATTTTTTCTTCATAGTACTAACTACAGGATGACAGTAAACTAATTATTTTGTTAATTAGTTAATTATCTCCTACTAGAATCTAAGTTACAAGAAAGCCACACCTCTGTTGAATGAATGAATAAATGAACAATTCGGTATAAATGAAGTCGTCCCAATTTTTTGGATGGAAGGACTAAGACTCAGAGGTTGTCCCTGATGGTCCTAAATCTTTCAACTGTAAGACGGTGGAGCAGAGATTCAAATCTAAGTCTTTTTGGATCCAAAGTACATGCTCTGTTACCTGTTCTTATATGATCCAACTGTTTAATAAAGGAAATTGGCAGTCTTCTACATTTTATGTGCATCTCATATAGGTCTTGAAATAACCCTGAGTTGAGTACTATTATTATTGTTCTATAGATAAGAAAACTGTGGTTCAGATAGTTTAAGAAACACAGGAAATGGTAGGGCTATCATTTAAACCCAGGCTATCTCCTTCAGAGCTCTTAACTCTGAAGCCTGGCTTTCCCTTCATAACACTCTTACTCTCTTCTGTCATGTTTGAGCATAGCACAGGGCACTACAGGCTTACTGACGGCCTGGCTCTCCTGCTCCGCTCTGTATTCCCAACTGGTAAATCCCTTTTTCCAGGTTCTATGAAGTGGCTTCTGGCTAGGTTCAGCCAATAGAGGGCAGCAATGGGAAATGAGAGGGTGGAAGAAAGTAAAAGTCTGGAGTATTTCTCCTCTTGCTTTGCTTTGAGTGGTGTCAGGTGGAGGTTACATCTTCTCCTTAGTTTTCTCTCTGAATGCCCTTCTCTCTCTGGTTCTTACTAATGCCACTTACTAGCAGTCTGTTTAGTAACAGTTAGATACTAGTGGCCTCTGAAATAATGCTGGTACTAGTGGTCTACTAGTGGCCTGGAGGGACCAAGGAAAGAGGTGGCAGAGCCTTCATGTTGTTGCTAAGTTCTGAGTGGTCTCACTGTTCCCTTACTTGGCTTTTCATCTCTTCTAATACCTTTATAACACATTCTCTGTACATTGAATTCCCATTATTGAACCACCTGGCATCCTGGCATAGGTTCCAATCACTGCCATCAGAGTACCCATCTCACTTCCCCACATTTTACCTTCTTAAACCTGGATTAAAGAAGATTTAAGATGGACCTGCCGGCCATACAGCCAATGCTGATATTTAGCTGTGAGCAAGAAGCCGCAACAAAAACCTCTTAGAGTTGCGTCATTTCCTTTTCACACCCCTAGGTTACGTTTAGGACATCAAGGCTGTAATGTGCTAAGTGATACCCTAATAACACTGAAAGACTACTGTAGGCTCCACAGGTGCTAAATGCACAACTGGGGAATGGCTAATTAAGAGCAAGTAGCTGCCTCATTAGAAAGAATCATTCTTAATTATAGGAGAAAGGGTCACAATACAAAGAGTTTCCATAAATGTCAGCCTCATGGTCAGTCTCGTGCTCCCTGAGTTTGCCCTCCCAGCTTTCAGTCTTGCCACCATGGTGCCCATGATTAGGAGGAGGGAGGGACCAGAGGCAGCTTTAGGTGCCAACTATAGTTCTTGTAGCATTCCTCAACTCCAAAAACATACCACCTGCTACTTTGAGAATTATTATCCAAAGTAGCAAGAACATGGTTCTTCCAGAAATGACCCCAGAAAACAACAATCTTTTGCCCCCAAAACCAAGTAAGAAAAAAAAAAAAAGGCAAAATGAGCCTGGTCCAAATCCAATATTCTAATACGTTAATAGTTAATGTGTCATCGCAGAGAATTTGGCATAATAATGAGATTCATGACACAATGTCTCTGATTACTAAAAGTTTTTGATCAAAAGTATAAAAATTGGTTCCTACTCCCCCAACATTTAGGATTTTTTAAGTGTATAATGTAGAATGCGAATAAATAAAGTATGACTAAATGTCTTTTTCTAGCTGGGGTATCATCCTTGATGTTATCAATTTTAATAGCTACTTAAATATGTCAAGATCTATTTAAGTTCAGACAAGCACAACTAACATTCAAGTCAGTTCTTTAGAACTGAAATGACTAGATTTGGGTGATACTTGGTAAATTTGTGCTTATGTTTTTTTCTGAGCAAATGAACTGAGATAATTATAAAATTGAAACATTTTATAAGGTGACACTACTGCATTTAATTGTATGAAATTTACTGTGTAGAAAATGTAATCATTTTATTCAGTAGTCCATGGTGTAATTAAGACTATTCTTTTGAGGTATCTTGTATTTATGATTTTCCTCTTCCACCTGGATGAAACGTCTCAAATTCAAAATTATACATCAATTAGGTATATTCTCAGGATTCTTTTTAAGGCTCCTATTTTCTAATATCATGTGTATCCCTGGTTTTATTATCCGCAGGGTTGCTTTTCCAATAAGAACATAGAAACAGAAGCAGAGATACAAATAGTGCTCTGGACTTTTTCCATTTTATTTGGGAAAAGGACCACACAGGATGAGCCACGATTTAATAATAAAGTAATGTTGCAGCACACAGTGCGTGATGTGCAGTAAAGATCCTTTTAAATTCCCATCAGAGCACACACCATGAACTGTGCTAATGGATATAACACATTTTACAAAATCTGCATGTGTGAGGCTTTTCTATCTTGTTTTAAGTGGGGCAATGTATATAAATAATAGATATTAACAATTAAGCATCCATTCCTATGCACTCATTTATACATTTGAAAATAAATTAACCACAAACTACATGAAAGTGAATGTGATCTTCTTTTTTCCCTTCTGTTTCTCCTGCTGTTCCTGAAAGATATTTCTGTATTTATCTCAGTACGAACAATGACCCCAGCTCTCAATTTCTACATCCTTAAATTAATTACTATCAAAAATTCTCTAAAATGAAGTGAGTCTGACTTAACTCTTGATTTCCTTGATGTTTGTTCTTTAGGATAATGAAAGTTTCTTATCACTATTTGTTGCCTCAGTCTGAGCTTTCTGGTCTCTTTTTTCATTCAGTTACCAAAAGCTCTTACTTCGCTGATGGGAGGATTTTCTACAACAAGAGGAAGGAAGGATGGATTATTATCTGTGTTGTTATCTTAAAACCAGAATTTCCTGGGTCATACTGGCCTTGGCCCAGGCTTAAAAAATAATCTAATTCGGCTATCCTCATGATTCTCCTTTACTCTTCCGAAGAATGGTCGATGATTTTTCTTGCATGGAGGGTCCTAGGTATCAAATGCTATTTTAATGAATTAGTCATTTTGGCCCTTCTCTGAGAATGAAAGGTTTAGGTGTCATGGTAGCCACATTGGCCCTTCTCATTCTCCCAGGATTCCTCATAAAATAAATCAGAGTGGATCTGGAGTTATTCTGAGTTATATGGTATAAACATGTACAATGGCAATTTCTAATTCTGGGATCAAATAACCAAGATCTATTACAGGTAAAATCCGTGCATCCATGATACTATCTGATAAAATGCTCCAGCATCAAAATGTTTTGCAGAGAACTCTCCTGTTTTGCCCGTTTTTTCCCACTGGCATCAAACTCTAACAAAGCCAGAAACTTGGATTCGAGGCTGTAACCTGTCAGTCTATAGGCCAAAGTTGGCCCAAAGTTGTGTGTAGATGGGGGTGTCCGAAACTTTGTAAACGAAATGGAGCTATTGTCAATGCTTAAAATTATAGAGATTTCATGTAACACTCTAGATCTGGCAGTTTGGGGCCTTTATTTCCTTCTGGCAACAATTAGGTGGAGCTGGATAGAGATAGTACTTTTCACCTTGCCGCAGTCCTCATCAATCTCTATCATTTACTTCTGATTTACTTTACTATTCACATTATATCCTGGCAATCACAGGCAATTGTGTCCATAGCTTCTGGTCTAAAGCATCCATGATAACATTTGTACAAGACATCACATGCATAACATATGTTAGAAATAATTTCTTCTCTTACTTCCTAAAACCGTAATCATAATAAAAGCAAAACTGAATATATATTATGTGACAGGTTCTGTACTGGTTGCATAATAGATGTTCTTTAATTTGATCTTCAAAACACCCTATAATGAGTTACTATCTCCATTATATTATAACTCAGAGACTGAAATTCAGAAGTGATAAAAAAAACTTACCTAATTTTAAACAGTTAATAAATTTCAGAGCCAGAAGTTAAACTGATGTGATTCCAAAGTTCCTCTTATACAGAGTTTATTTTAAAAAACTTTTTAAAAATAAATATGAATTTAAATATAGATCAGGAACTATACCTTATTATATCTTCCTTTGAGAAAGTCCTCTTAGCTTTCTTTAAATGCAAATGTAGATATTGAACACTACAAAATTCTTGAACGGTTTATGTCTCCTGGAAAGGTCGCTGAAAAGTTAACCTGAGTAAAATTCATATGTCTTGGTGTGGAGTCTATGACTTTAAACGAGACTATGCTGATCATTTAGCACCAAATCAATTTGAAATTGGCTTTACAAATGGAACATGCCTTCTTTTGTCATGTATAGGGATGATCTGGTCTAGGTTTGCACTGATCAGAATGCTTAGGAAGTGATATTACGTAGAGGAACCAACCCTTTTTCACAGGTTGCAGATGTAAGCATCTAGATATTTTATACAGTCTATGTCTATACCTTTCCCACATGTCAGTGTCGTTCCTTTTCCTCTCTGCCTAGAGGCATGGGCTAAATAGTTCCAGATCTCAGAAAAAAAAAATTGTCATTTTTCTTTATTCACTTCCTAGTCCTATAGCAAGAATGACTACACCTCACCCTAGCTATTTAAAAACACTTTGCTTCCGATTCCCAGCTTTGAGAGAGCAAACAATCTGCCAAGCATCTCATAATTGCAAAGTGACCTTGACATGTGTCATTCACTAGTGTTTTCAAATCGAAGTCTTCCTGTTTAATATTCATAAAGCCTTTTTTTCCCCTTAACAGCATATGTGATGATTTTACAGGGGTTGGGGTTTGGGAGCTTTATTTAGAGATGGGTTGATTCTGAGAAACATACCATCAGTGTCTCTCTGATGAACTGAAGTATCGGTTTGAAGGTAAGAAAATTTCGTTTGGCATTCTTCAAGGGAGGACAGTGATTTGCTGGATTCTGACAGTTTTTTCTCATTGAGAGTTTCCTGGGCTGGTCCATCTGTGATATTGAATTCAGATACTGAATTTATAACGATAGCATTAATGGGTTTCTCTTCAACATGTTTTTCATTTGTAAGTTGCGTATCTAGATAAAAAAACACACACACACATACACAAACCCATTATAGTTGACGTAACCTAGTGATCTAAGAGTGGACACTTGCAGAAAATTTCAAATTCTAGACTTTCATAAGAATAAACTCTTCTTTAAAAAAATAAGGCATTATTGATGAGGAAGTTTTGAATGAAAATACAAGTAAAAACAAAAGAGTGCAATAATTATAAAATTTTATACACATTCCAAGTTTTACATATTATAGTGATTTATGACATTTATTTCTACTCTGGGTCTTTTAATGATGAGTGGAGAGAATCAAGGAATTCATTCACTTGGATCAACAAAATCTTATAGTATGTCGTCAGCTTACTGTCATAGTGTTTTATAGTTCTGAGAAGTAGTCAAAAGATCTTCAATGCAGGGCAGTACTTCTCAGTAATGGTATGTGATCTCAATCAAGTTGTTTTATTTCTTTGTTTCTGCCAACCTCAGTTTGCTCCCTTGTATAAGAAAAGTGGTCATAAATAAATAGTCACATGCTCATTTTTATTTCTACCCTCAAAGACTAAGTAGCTGCCTTTTTCTCTGCTTTGGTATTTGTTATGTCTCTATTCAGATGATGGTCTGTAGACTTAGGGGGTGTGCTTCTTGGGAGAATGCTATATTTCTGTATCATCACCTGGCATAATTATTAGAGATGTTAAGGAACCTCTATCAAAATCTTTGATTGAGATTCTGGTTCAAAGTGGCATAGAGAAGGCTGAGAAGGCCTAGGTGCTTTATGTATTTTAGAACTTCCATATTTATTCATTCATTTCCATATAATAACTGAGAGTCTGTTGTGTAATAAGCACTGGGCAGGGCAGTGGGGATACATTGTTGACTAAGACAGGCATGGTCCCTGGCTTTCACAAGTGTCAAACAAGTTAGCAAAAAGTAACTTTTAAGTTACAATATTGAGGAGGGTATAAAAAAGAAGCACACCATGAAGCCATGAAGTCATATTATAGAGAGAACTAGACTGGGTATTGGACAGTTAATTTATTATTACCTACACTCATTAAACAGAAGAATTCTAAGATCTGAGAAAAGAATTAACAGGAGGTATTCTCAAACGCGCAGGAAGGCTATCTACTGGGGACATCTTAAGACCACAGCAAGCAATAATCCTGGTGATTTGGCTGCGCTTTTGGGAGGTGGTGAAGATGAATTCTGGAGAATTGCATTTCCATTGCTGGCCCAATGCCTGGTCGATTCAATAATGCTCACTGAGTGACTGAAATAAATAATATAGTTGGCAACCTGGTTTGATTTTACCATGCTTACACAGCTCAGTGCAAGAAATATATTCTTGCCAGGTCCATATTCATTATCCTTTCAAAATTTGCTTCTTAGTTTGGGGCAGATGGAAATCTCCACTTTGTTCTAGCTCATAGGACAGTGGTCCCCAGACCTGCCTACAGAGTAAAATTATCTGGGAAACATTTTAAAAATGTGAAATTTTTTAAAGCTCAGATAACCCCTCCCAGATCCATCCCAACAGATTTTTGAAGCTCCTCAGGTGATTCCAACATGTAGACAAGTTTGGGAACCACTGCCACGAGAGAACAACACATTGATCTGTGCGTCAGTGATTTTCAGAAACCAGTCATGAGACAGTGGCTCTTCAAAGGCTCCTGACTGGCACGGGAGCTAACAGTATGCTGCACACAATTGTATTAGGCCATTTTTGTCTCTTTCTGAGCTTCCAAAAGTCTTGGCTTTCAATAATATTTAATTATTATTCTGTATTTGTTATGCTGCTGGCTTTCAATCTCTTGGTTGCAGTTTGATTCACCCTAAAAAGGATTGGCAAAAATAGGGGTTCAGGAAAACAAATATTGTTGATAGCAATTAACATAATATTGAATAGACAGAATTAGTTCAGCAGATTGGGAAGCTCTGGGCTTCCTCTAACCCAAGAGAGATTCACCATATTAATGATATTTTGATGATGATGATGATGATGATGTTAAGAATAGTTTATTTTTCTTTCTTGGGTACCAAAGTGTCCAGTAACCAGCTGGACAAACAGATAGCCATTTAAATTGCACCTTAGAGCACTTAAGCAGTATTGATATTTTGGGCCTGATAAGTCTTTGTCATACGGATATTGTAGGATGTTTAGCAGCATTCCTGTCCTGTACTTACTGGATGCCAGCAGCACTCATTGCCCTAGGTTGCAATAAACAAAAATATCTGTAGATATTGCCAAATTCTCCTATGGGGCAAAATCACCCAGGTTGAAAATCAAATCACAGCTGGCACACACACACACACACAGTTGCAAGCATGCATGTTAAGCTCTATGGTACCACTTATAACCTTATTTAACTTAAGCACTAGGAGGTAGATATTGTCGGCTTCCTAGAACAGATGGGAAATGTGTGAATTGGTACCCCAAGTTAACAGATGAATTAGTGTAACCAAGGCTTAGATAGTTTATTTAGATAACTTGCCCAAGGAGTCCTCTTTAGCAAATGATAGAACTGGGATTTGAACCTAGGCCTGGTCAATTCCAAAAGCTATGCTCTTATCTTTGTCTTTTATATTATACAACATTTGTTCTAATTGTTCTTAACTCTTATCTCTGCTTCCTAGCTATTAAGACTGCACATCAGCAAAACCCTCTTCACCCTAAATCCCATGATGTGTCAGCCATTCCAAATCAAGCCTTGCAAACAGCTTTAAAGACATGCCTCTCCCTGATCAGTCTTAGCAAAGCAAGACTACCTCCTTGCACACACAGGGAATCCTGCCCTTCAGTTACAGCAGCATTCTACTGTACATTAAAGAGCATCTTAGAAAGAGCTGGTAGATAACGAAACCTTGATGAGTATGGAGATTGCAGTAGCTATTTACTTACAGAATTAATTAACAATCAGTTCAAATTATCACACGTAGTCAGGCTGCATGGAATTTAAATTGCTTTTGCACAAAGTAATTCACTAACAAAAAAAAGTTGGATAGAGGTTACTGGTATGTAAGAACATGCGGAGAATACGGTATACAGCCAAGCGGTATATGAGTCTCTTTTTAATTTTGCGACAATTTTAGGTATAGCATTTGAATCTAAGTGGTGTGCTACATTAAGCAACCATTTGGAGACATGGGGCTTGAGGATTTTATAGAGAAGTTAAACTGCCATTCATAAAGTTATTTTAATTCTATATCTCTGTTTATATTTTTTTTCATTCCCTAGTGGGAACTATCTGTTGCTCATTAGAAAATCATCTGACATACACACATTTCAGAACCCAGTCTGTTCAACCCAGAATTCTGACATCTGAAGTGAGTCACAATTTTTCGGTGAATGTTACTGACATCTTCCATCTTTTATAGATGGCATGCTAACAATAATTTCTCCAGATTCCTTCTTTTGTGGTGTTATTTGACATAGTTCCCAAAGTATTATAAAGTAGCATAAGCTAAAAGGAGAAACACATAAAAAGTGGTATCACATCTTCTGCAGAGAAAAACTATTTTGGAATTAAACAAGAAACCCATGAAACTATATTTAGGATGTTATAGATAGGTCTTGACATTAATATAAAGAAAATATTTTTTTTCCAAAAAAGAACTCCAAAATTAGGACAAAAATTAGAAGCTCAACTATTTCTTAGG